GTTTTTTTTTTTTTTTTTTTTTTTTTTTTTTTTTTTTTAGTTTTTACCACTCTTTTCCTTGGTTTTCTGTGCATGTACATGCAATTTTGTATCTTAGGAGCATACGCTTTTCTAACTACTCAAGTTTTACTAGCTTTGTACAAAAACAGTTTCATAAATGGAATGGTACCTTGGTTCAAGCAAAGTGCAGCTGTATAAAAAGAAGAAGAAGAAGAAATAATACTATATTCCTTATAGTTTAACTTGTATCCGTTGTGAATGCAAAAGTTACCATTTTATATTATTGTATATTTAATTTGATTCATATTATTTTATATATTAATTATTTTTTACTAAATTATCTTTAATTAATATATTTTTCTAATTTAGTGAAATATATTATAAATATTTTAAAAAATATGTACTCAAATTAGTTAGGAGAGCAATATTAACATAAATAAGAGTATTGATTAGGAGAGAAAAATGGATATAAGGTAATTTTGAAAAATTTATAAAAATGGAATAAATTTATTGTTAAAATTTATATTATTTATTTTTCTTAATTTTTATAATTTAAATATTTGAGTTTATATGTAGGAATGAATGTAGTATTAAATTATTAATTAGTTAGAAATTATATTCGGTATGATTTTCAAAGTTGTTATTAAAGTTGATAAATTAAGGCTCAATTATATTTTTATCCTCTATTTATGAAAATGTTTGATTTGATCATATATCTTTAATATTTGGATCAATTTTGTCATTTTAAAATAATATTTATTTTCAATTTTGTGGCAAAATTTTGAATCAATTTTTTAGTAATTCAAAACATGAAACTTGTAACACAGTAAGTTATGATAGTGTTATATTACTCCTAGTTGTTTTATACTCTTGAGTGAGTTGTTAATTAGCGTTGAAAGGCTTAGGGGCATGAGAATCCCTTATGTGCTTCAATGGTGTTGAGAAGGAATCTCTAGGTAGAGATCCAGTCCGACCCTGAAAGGTAAAGTATATAAGATTTTTGATTGAATACAGTCTCAAACACATTTCTCTCAGAAGTACAGAGAGTGGATTCTAGAGAGAAGGTCATTAGTTCATGAGCTCTTTTTCTCTCAATCTTCTCTTTTTCTTCCAATCCTTTTCTAAACTATGTTATTGTGATTCTTTTCTACCTCAGACCCAAGCAATCTAAGTTAAGTGAAGCTAGAAATTTATGTGTGATGATGCATTGATGATTGGAAAACCATTTCTGAGTTGTATGTAGTGTGGAATCTCATTGTGTGCGGCTGTGATGATAAAATCGAATAGGGAAGCATGTTGGAAAAATGGTTTTTGAGTTGTTGGTTATAATTATTGATTCTTTGCAAAATCTTGTTTGTATGTCAAATTTGAGTACGTTTTTGAGTTGATTGTGATGTATATATACTTGTTATTTTATGTTGCATGTGTTGGTACCTTGTTAGATTTCAGGTTGTGGCTCAAAATCAAGTTCTGCATACGTAGAATTCTGATGTCGCATCGGATGTAACTTTAAGGCATTGGGCACTGTTCTAACTTAAGGCTCTCTATCTGGATTATGTCGGGTGTAGGATTGGTGGCACTGAGTGTGGGGAGAGAGACTTGTCTCAGGTTGGAACAACATCGAGCTTGGGAATCTTGAGAGCTCTTTGACTTGGTGATGTTGGGTCCAAAATTGAGTGACACCTAGTGTGGTCCATCCATTTTTCTTTGATTTAGCAACCCACTAAATCAAAGATCATTTACTATAATATTGTTTACAAACACCATACACACACAATATTACAAGAATGCAAACATACATCAATCTTACACTACAAGACTGAAAACATACACAAATTTCTGTATTCCACAAAAATTACTTGAGAAATCCCACTCAAGATTTCAAGATCTTTTATTGAGACACCCTATCTCAAGAGATACACCATATAAAACAAAAATACAGGTTAAAAGATCAGAAATACATCACCTAATTTGTGTAGATATTGATCTTTTACAATTGAATTCACTTCTTAAATTTCTTCATTCAAGAACACATGTTCAATCTTTGCACTTCTTAGTATTTCAAAAAATGTTTCTTTGATCAGCCTTTGATTCTTGTTTCTAAAAGTAATCTTTTCTCTAATGTTGTTGTTCAAAAAGGTTCTGTTTTAATTTCATAAAAGATAGGTATTTAAAGTGCAAGACATAATTCAGTTATAAAGAGTCATAACGCAAGTAATTTGTTACTTGATATGGTAATTGATTACCAATTCATCAGAAAACTAAATTTTGAACATAAACTACTAAAGTAATCGATTATAAGATATGGTAATCGATTATCCTAAGCTTTTTAAGACCTAAAATTGTGTTTCACTCTATGGTAATCGATAATCTCATGTGGTAATCGATTATCCCAATGAAAATCTTGATTTTTTTGCCTTGTTTCAAGCAAGAGATTTTATTTTAATCTATTACCAACTCTGGTAATCTGTTACCACAGAAAGCACTTGAAAATCTTTTTCCAGTAACAGACTTGGTAATCTATTACCCTGGATGGTAATTTATTAATAATGTTACCTTGAAAACTCATTTGAATCAAGTCATATTTCTATGTTTAAACACTTAGTAATAAATTACCTTTTCATGATAATTTATTACTTTATGTTTATACATGGAAATACTAAAAAAAAATCAATTTCTTGACTTCTTAAAAGCTTGATTAGTTATTGAATTAAACATTCATTATCATCATCAAACATAAACAAACACACACATATGCCTATATCTATTACAACCAATACAATATCCTTTTTCATAGGCTTAAGCAACATCTATATAATACATCATCAAAACTAAAACAATTTTCAAGAGTCTTCAAGATGTCCTATCATCTCTAATAATCTCCATCATCTTAACAATCTCTGTCTTTTTGGTTTTAATGAGCCAAATATCTAATTAAGATAAATGATATATCTTGAATAGATGCCTTGTGTTTACTTGATGATCTATCTGCAAAACTCATGTAGAAAAACTTCCAATACAAACAAGTTAAGTAACATATTAAACTCATAAATGTTGTGCTTAATCATTCATTCACAACATATTAAACTCATAAATGTTGTGCTTAACCATTCATTCAAATCATTCATTCACATATAAGCTCATTCATTCACTCACATATAAGCTCATTCTTTTCTCCCCCTATTTGGCTTAACCAAACCAAAATTAATATAGAGAAATAAGATTTTCAATTTATAAAACATAAAACATATATAAAATTGAATCCAAATAGAACCACATATAATTATAAAACATATCCATGACGTGAATTGTTCAAAGTGTACGATATTAAAAATATTACACCCTAGTGAATTGTCCATAAATTAAAAATAACAAAATGCCAAATGAATAATGCAGTGCCTATTCGTGTGGGTCATCATCAGGGTATGGAATATTCATAGCATCCAGGCGCTCAAAGATAGACTCAAAACAAGCCTTGAGGTCACTGTAGTCACGCCTTTGAGTTTCCCTAATATCATCCAGCTTAGCTAGCACTAATAATTCAAATCCAGATAATGGTTTTGCTTCCTCAAGTCCAGCTTCACGTTCAGGTTTAGCTTCTAATGGTTCTTCTATGTTTTCTTGAGTTACTTCATCCTTAGCTTTCCATCTTCCAACAATCTTCATTAGTTTCATCATCTTGAGAGCACGATCCTTCACATCATGAGTTTCCCTTGTTGCTTCTCTTGTTTCACTTAGTAGAGGTACATTGTAATGAACAAGAACCTTGCTAATGAATAGAGCATAAGGAAATTTGTATTCCATAAGCCTTTTAGTCTCCAGCATTGTGTCTTCCAAAACATAAATTCAGTTGACTTTGATTTCATTTTTTAGGGCAGTCATGAGAATCATGTCGTCTTCACTGATTTGAGCATGATTGCTCCCCCTAGCAGCCAAAACCCATGAAATGCAATAGCTGCCTATCTTCTATGAATAAACCACCAACATTATATGTGACCTTCTTACTATTCCTTCTCTTTGCAGCCTTGTCTACTTCCCAAGTAGAAACATCCCTTAGCATGCTTTCAAAGAAAACATCTTTGTTAATCTCAAGACCTTTTTCTTTCAGATTAGCAAAATTAGCAACAATACTAGTATTTTTCAGTCTAACCACCTCATCATAAACATCTTCAGTCAAAGTAATGGTTATACCATTAACTTCATAAACCAAAACACAATCATCATTCTTATGTAGATTGTTGTAAAATACACGGACTAAGTCTGGATAGCAGAGTCCATTCATATTGATAAACTTATCTAGACCCTGAGTAGATAGCAAATTCTAAAAATTAAAACCTTATTTTCTCAGCCAAGAGGAGTAAAATACCTTTGGAGGAATGAGGTCTTTGCAAGCAAATGACCCGTTGAAAGTTTCCTCTTGAGTCTTAGTTGAAAACCAGTGGTGTGGAGGGTGTCCCTCAGATTATGCTGGAGAAGGTTCTATTCTCTTCCTTTTTGCAGAGGATTCTCCTTGAGTTAGTTTGGAAGGTTGTGGGTAATCACAGTTCGCTCTGTGATTCACTCTTGGGCCTCTCCCAAGATCTTCTATTGTTGATTGAAGAATACAAAAGAGAGGAATTTAGATTTTAGAGAGATTGAGGTTAGGGTTTAAGAGTGAGAATGTGAGAGAAATGGTTTGGAAGTGAAAGGTTACGTTTTTATAAGTTTATTGGAAGTTAGAAGGTTTAGAAATAAGGGGTTTTTTTAACAGTTACGTCACAGATAATCGATTATCACCTGAGGTAATCAATTATCTCG